CACACACACCCGTACACCTGCTTGTCCACTTCTGTGCTCACATGCATGCAAACCAACGAAGGAAGGGGCGGGGCGGGGTGAAAACCAGAAATGACCTGCGCACGTCTTAATGAGGGAGGACCGGGTGTCTGGCATTTACCTCAAACCATTTCTTCCCCCCGCTGCTCTCTCTGGAGGGCTTTAAGTCCACCACCCGTTAACGGCTGAAGTGTGGATTTCCTGTCAAATAGGGGTTAGAGCCCAACAAAAGCCCCATACTCCATCCAGTACCTAAAGCAGGATCATTTACAGCTGCTCCATTTAAACACACACACTTCATGTTGTACAATGTCCCAAATGGGATTTACACCGAACTTGTGGTGCTCATTGTTGTCTTTATAGTGACCTTACTGCACCTTTTATGATACTTTTAAACTATACTATCAGTGCAAAATCCCTTTAATGAAAGGATAATAAAGTCTGTGATATATTAGACTTTGTCAAATTGTATCTTTATACTGTAAACTGAAAGACAAATACACCAGTTTTGAGCTTTTTAGGAGGCTGATTTCAAATGTTCCGTTGGACTCCACTTGGCATCGGATTTTCCTCCCATTTCTGGGTTTCCTTTGAGGATTGTTTGAAGAGCAGGACAAATACTCCCTCACTCCCTGACAGATAGTTTTCTTCTCTGACGTGAGAACAGGCCTTTTAAAGAACCGATTTTGGCACAGCAATGCATCGCCACACTGGTTCTCTGTGATTCAGTCTCATGTTTGTCATCTTAGTGGGCACATCAATCAGGCAGAGGCACACAACGAGTTTTTCATACACAACATAACACAAAGAGCTTGAGTGTGTTTCAGACGTGTTACTACCAAAAGACGAAGGTGGACAAGGATGTTTTTGACCATGTCTTTCAGGGAATTATCATTGAATTTACCTCTACAATTCCACTACCTTTTGAAGTCAAGATTGCCACCCCGGTATTCAAACACTATCAGTTCTGGATATTCTTCTGCAGCTTGACCGGAGTCCAACTGTTCCTAATTATTTTTACTAGACATGACTTGGAAAGGCTCACACCTGCCTGCATTAGTTCTCATGTTTGATTGCCTTTATGTCAGAGTGGAAACCAATCCACAAAGTTGAGAAAAAACACAGATCTGGACTATGATACATTTCGTAGTATTTAAAGAATCAAATAACGCAGTAGCCTCAGTCAATCTCACAGGATGTAATTTGGAACCACCAATGGTTTTCTGAGGTCTGACTGCCAAGCCTAAAGGAGAAATCAAACATTTTAGTTTGACGTGTAACCAAAAGACCAGTGCTTATGAAGGGGATTTGATTCAGATTTATTTTATGGACAGGTAAGAACCTGAGAAAAGGATCGCTCTTGCAGCATTCCACCTTTTATGGGTGGTCAGACAGGAGGCATTCTTTACCTAAAGCTATATTACAGCCTGCCAGGAATTTGTGGAAATGTGTCCAAAAATCATAAGGAGCAAAATCCATTTACAATCCTGATGAGGTGAGGACCGAACGATTAAACTGCAAATCCTAACAGTTTGTCGAGGAAACCTGGCACCTATCACGTTCACATCATCCATACAATCTGAGGGATGGCAACCTCAAATAGTCTGGAAAGGAAACAAAATTAGAAAGTATAGCACAAATCTGAAAGAGAACTTTATTTTTCCAGCGTGCTCAAGATCTCCACCTGGGGAGGAGATTTACATCTTAATGAGACAATGACCCGAGCAATATTCATGCCTTTATTTTCCGTGCTCATGACAGATCACCACTTAGCCTGAAGAATATCAGGAAAATTTAGGACTGGATTTAGAAAAACATTAAGAAAATTGAGGATTTCTGTTTGGAAACTTCCAGGTGAAAAATATGCCAAGTTTGAAGAATCTTTTCCAAAAAAGACATCAGTTTGTGATTGGTGCTAATAGTGCTTTAACCCACTACTATGACGAAACTTAATTTCCTATTGTCAGCCTAACCCTTTACCCTTCAGTTTAGCCCATGATTTAAAGTCACAAGAGATAGTAGCTAAGACAAAATCTCACTGAGCTGTGACTGTTAGGAGATAAGCTTGTGTAAAACAATCCTTTTAAAATGACCTTTAGAACCTACCAAATTGGACGTAACTTTAAAACACCAATAATCTTATCAAAAACTAGAAAACAAAGCTCTTGTTTTATTGGTCAGTCTACATTCTAACCCTCACCTATGGTCATGAGGTAAATTGTGATCCCAGATGAGCTTCCTCAATAGGCTGGGCTTAGCCTAAAATAAGATGAGGAGCTTTATTATCTGAGGGTAGCTCATTGCTCATCTGGATCAAAAAGTGTTGGATGAGGTGGATCAGACAACTGAGGGGACCAGGCATGTGTTGCAGAGAGGAGACCCCAGGACTATCCTCTCTGGTCTGGGAATGACTTGTGATCCCCCAAGGAGGGGTTGGAGAGAGTTGCTGGGAAGAAGGATGTTTGGGTTTCCTTCCTGGACCTGTTGCCTCCCCAACTGGACCATATCTAAGCAGTAGAAAATGGATGGGTGGAAAGGGCCTGAAATTTCTTAATTGAAAGATGTGGAGGGTTGACCACTGATTAATGATTTTTGTGGTATTTAATGATTTATATCCCAGTTGATGTAAATGGGTTCTGCTACAGGTTTTCTTGAGACTTTGTGCCAGTGTATGAGTCAAATCTGATGACGTGCCCCAAGTGTGCAATCTGGTTGTTGTGTTAAATTGCATATAATTTATAAAAAATGTAATTTTTCAAAGCCTAAGTAGCCTGAGCTTACTGGCTGGATGTGACCCACAGGCACCTGTGTGCAAATACCTTTTTGTAAATGTACTTTTAAAGCCCATATAGATTCTAAAAATGTGTTAAAGATTACTCTAAAACGTAACAAATGCAGAGAACTGGACAGGTTCTGAAAGCTTTCAATTCATCTTATATGTTTCCAAATCAAGTAGACTTTAAATACATAACTTCAGTCAGCTTGACTGATTGAATGATGCTTTATCAAAACCAAGGTATCGCAGATTTCTGTCACTTTGTTTTAGTTGGCAAGAATAGATTGTCAAGATCTGGCAGTTTTCTTGCGTCATCTAGGACCACTCACTGTGCTTTAGTCAATACATTATGTCGGTGCTCTTTCTCTACTGCATTAGGAATTTTGCAACGAGCTAATCCTCTGAGGATGCAATCAATACTTTGCGCCAAGTGCTCTTTGGCGCACCATGTAAAGAATCCCATCTGTCTTTTCAGCTGAGCCAAAGSGAGGCCCGTTAGGAGACACAGAGGAAGACCTTGTCAAGGAGATCCGGCCTGATTCTAATAAGTCTGACACGGATCAACACCATTATCTCCACCAATTAAGTCATGGTCTCTAGTTTGGTAAAGTCGCATCAAGCACTGTTACAGATATTACAAGGCCATGAAGGGTGTTCCTTATCCACAGCCTGCAGCAAAAATCCAGGAAGTAAGTAAAGACATTAACACACTGTAGAAAGTACAAGTWCTGCAGAAAAAAATAGTAAAAACACAATACCAAACAAAAGAGATCATTGGTAACAAAATTAAAATATGAGATAAAATGTGGCAAGAATGAAAACTCTGATGTTATTAAAAGCTAGTGAATATAAAAGTGTTTTAAGATGAGACATGGAAACACCAAGTTCACAGTTCCAAAGGGGAGAGTGCTAAAAAAAGCCAATACCTCACAGTGCCTTGGGTGAGTTTTGTCTATTGCTATATATATA